GTGTGTGTGTGTTGGGCTTTTTTGCTCTTGTTTTCCGCTTGTTTTTTTGTTTATTTGTTTACTTGAGACAGGGTCTCACTTTGCAGCCCTGGCTGGCCTGGAACTGGCTATATACACCAGAATGACCTTGAACTCATAGAGATCTACTTGCCTCTGCCTCCAGAGTGCTGGGATGAAAGGCGCGCACCACCACCGCCCAGTTAGCCAATTTTAATTCTACAAATTCAATACATTCATAAAGTTCTGTTGTCATCACCCATACTTGCGCTCAAACCTTTCTCGCCATCCATTCTCAGTGTAAACTCTGTACTTAATACCTCCTTCCCACCCCTTGCTAGTCTCCAGTCTACCATAAGTCCCCGTGTATCTGCCTATTCCAGATACCCCGTAGAAATGGAATTACAGCATTTCTTCTGTTGTGGCTGCCTTACTTCATTTAGCGTAATAGAATGGGACCCTCTTAATTGAAGCTGGCTGCAAGGCTAGCCACAGGGCAGTGCAATGAGAACACAAGAGGCAGGGGCTCTAAGCTTTAGGGTAGAGGCATCAGGATGATTCAAGAGGAGAGGTAAAGATGCAGAGAAGGAAAGGGAAACTGGGTCCAGTGATGCATGAGGAGAGTGAGCAGGTACGAAAGCCAGAGGGGCCAACTGAGGTTGAAATGGGCAGGCTTAGCTTTATCCTGTGAACAATGCCAGTGTCAGGGGTGATATGGGCAAAAGTTCCACAGACAAAGGACTCTTTTCTTGTTTACAGGGTGAGTGGTATGAGAGACTTAGTAACTTTCAGGAAGATAATACCAAGTTCAGTGTGTACTCATCAGAAGGAGAAAGTCAGCTCGGCCTTCAAATGGACGGTTGTGATAAGGCAGGGCCAAGGGCAGGCCTGCTGGGCACAAACTATACAAACAGGTGGATGGCCACACACGTGACCAGAGTGCACATGTACTCTCCAGAGGTCTTAAACGTGTTAGCATGGTTCCCAGAGAAGTCTGGCCTATGGCTTCGCTCCCCACAGTCTTTGGGAATCCCTGAGCAGAGGCTGCGCTGTTTGGCAAGCTGAGAATAAACATAGGTGAATGCCTCACGCTCCACAATCACCCCGTCATATAACAACATCTGGGCTGATGATCCATAACCTGGCCCAGAAGACACACTTCCTATGTGTCTCAAGACTAGCTTCTTAGGGCTAGGGGTCAGGAAGGCTCTAGAGGACCTGATGTCGTCCTTACTCGGTGACGCTCCAGAAGGGTCTGTGGTGCTCTGGAAATCTGACCCCTGAGGCTTATCTCACTGGAGGGGACCCTGACTTTTCAGACTTTCTTTTATGTTACATGAACAAAACAAAAGAATAGTGGGGACTAAGGATATGGCTCAGTTGGTACTGTGCTTGCCTAAAATCTATGAAGCTCTCTGCTTGACCTCCAGCACCCCATAAACCAGGCTTGGTGGCTTAGGTCTATAGTACTCAGAACTCACAAGGCAGAGATAGGAGGATCGATCAGAACTTTAAGGTTAGTCACACAGGAAGTTCAAGTCCAGCCTGACTTTCAAAAGATCATATTATTTTTTTAAAAAAATCCAAATACCTGTTTTCAAACCAGGTAAAGAGATATCTGAACCTCGTTCCTGCCATCACAAGCCTTCTATGAATACCTGTAATGGCACTGGCTTAGCAGACACCCGGGCATGCAGTGGAAGGCAGGGATGGATGAGGTTCTGGGATTCATGTGGGAGAATACAAGTTTTCAAGAGCCAAGGAGCAGTTTGAATGTCATTCCATGTAACGGATGTTTCCTGGTAGCTCTAGCGGAAGAGCACAGGACGGGGAGCAGCAGGCCGAGTAGAGCCAAACAAGTCAGGGAGGTGAGTATGTCAATCACCCTTCATTCAGTTTTAGTTTCTTCAAGACAGCAATTGAACACCTATTAGAGGTCGGGTACTCTAGGTGCGGGAACAAAGTCAAGTTCCTACCCTTGTGAAACTTGGGTTTTACTAAGGAAAACAGATAGTAAAGAAGTAGTATGATAAGTTAACAGTAAAGGTGATTAAAGTATGCTCAGTGAAAGACAGATCCGGGTATAGTGAATCTGGAGCGCCACTGGGGTGGGGGTAGTGTATATTCGGCCTCATTGACAAGGTGATAGTTGAGCTAGGCCTGAAAGGGGACAAGAATTTGTTAAATAGCATCTAAAGAGAGGGCATTCTAGGGAAGGCAAAAATGTTTGTGTACAGATCCTAAAGTAGAATAGAACTGGCATATTAAAGGGATAGAGAGGAGGCTAATGTGGCCAAAGCAAAGCAAGCAGGATCAAAACAAGAAGCCGATGAGATCCAGGGGCAATGGATGCTGTAGACTTCCAGACTATAATAGTGATTCTTTCTCTAAGTCAAGGCTTCTCAGCCTTGGCATTGTGAACTAGAAGAGTCTTGGTTTGGAGGGGCTGTCTTGTGCATTGTGGGGTATTCACCAGCATCCCTACTAGCTAGGCTCCAGTAGAAGCTAATAACATCTACACCAGAGCTGGAAAAAACAAAAGGTTTCTATACAGTGCCAGATGTGGCCCGGTAGAAAAGGTTGTCCCCAAGTGAAAACAGTGTTCTCAGTGAAAGGAGGGAAAAACTAGGGATTTTTGATTAAAGGAGTAACAATCTGATTTATATTTATATAAGATCACTCAATATTGCCTATTAAAAATTCCCTTGGAGCTGGATGTGGTGGTACACATCTCTAATTCCAAAACGTGGAAAGCTGAGGCAGGAGGATCACGGTGAGTTTGTGATCAGCCTGGGCTACAAAGCAAATGCCAAACCAGTCAGAGCTAAAATCAACCAAAACAGCAACAAAATGGCCCCGAGAGGGCTGAGAACACAGTTCTGTGGTTGAAGGCCATTTTGTTATTAAAAGAAAGGCGGCAGTGTTTCCACCGAATGAACAAACAGAAGAAGGCATGGTGACTACACAGCAGGTAGAATAAGAATGAATCCCTCAACAGAGAAACAGACCCTGGCATGAGAAACAAGGAAGCATGGTGGGCTCGCCATTTACTGTACTCGACCGGAGACACCAATGGAAGAGCCAAGAGTAATGGGTCGGGATAGCAGCAATGCCGTTGTGGTGTGCAGGAGCAGTTACAAAGCTAGACAAAAAGGAAAATCAGCCCCATCCAGGAGAGGATGGCAGAAAGGGACAATTAGCGGTGTAGCCAAACACAAGGGAACAATGAGTCCAGAAAGAAACTGAACATGGAGGATCAGGGGTGAAGAGAGTTCCAAGAAAATCTGAATAGTTAGAAAACCCACTTTAACTAATGCTAGGCTACAGAATCTATTACAATACTTGAGTTTTTTAATGTTCAGGTCTAGAATCAATCTTTTCTTTAAACTGAAATAATTTCTTGAGAGTTGGTTATTTATAATGCATTTACTGAACTCCTGTTGTCCAATCTTGTTAAGCAGTAAATAGTGTTTAACTGTCAAACATGCCACATCTCAATGACCTACCACTACATATTACCACATTTCATGAACAATCCACCTGTATTCGCTCATGGAGATGCATGTGCCACAGGGAAGCTAAATGTGTGTGAGAAGGAGAAAATGTGAAAGACTGTTAAAGAGTCATTCATCAATTGTGTAGTTGCTGTGATAAGCAGTTTGAACTCTGCCTGATTAAACTTTCTCTGTGCAAAACGGACAGCAGAAAGAAAATGTACTCTGAATAAAGGTTATGATCACACTGAAAGAAATTGTTTGTTTCTCATCAGATTGACTCTTGATTTCAAAAGGAAGCAGGCCTTTTGCAACTCCTCAAATCTGAATTAGAGATTATCTTGCCAAATCTCGATGGAGAAAGCTTAGCTTCTTCCTCTCACCCACTTCTTCCCTGAGAGCATGACTCCCAGCTGAGAATGGTACCCTTGCTGTTTTGGACCTTCAAGGAATTCAAGCCTGATTTGAAAGGTTGTGAATGAAGGAGGTAACTCCTAAGAAGTGGAAATGTTTCCCACTTTCAACAGACCTGTGAACATCGGCTACTCTGAGCAACGTGCAGGGACCGCTGAAGGATCCAGGGCAGTTTCACTCACAAGAAAAAGTGGTGTTACTTCTGTTCATAATTCAACCCAGCTTTTAAACAGCAACCAGTACAGAAGGCGCCAGAGCATCAATAAAGGGAGACCAGGAAGCAGAAAGCAAAGCGGTTTTCCATGGCCAAGAAAGGCACAAGTGCTCTCCGAACTAAGGTGTGCCCGTTAGCTCTTAATGTTTCTCAAACCTTCCCTGGGAAAGTACACGAAAAGGGAGGGCACTGACATTAATATTAACAAGCTGTCACAAGTTTTCTCGGGAGTAAAATATTTAACAAGGAATGCTGCAAAGAATGGCAGCCATCAACCATTCTGGAGTTTGGAGGTACCTCTCCTCTAGGTCTTGGGCAGGGCACAAAAGTTAAGGCCAGAAGGAGTAATTTCAGAGTAAAAAAGTTTTTGATTTCTGTAAGCACAGCTGTGACAGTACTCCACAGCCTTGGGATGGCTGTGAGTCTGTCCCCAGCTCCTGTCATAGTGGGGGTGGGGATGAAGAAGAAACACTTGACTTATTGCACCTCAGTTTCTGAAGGAAGTCTCAGAATCTGTTAGCCTTTACCCTCGTCTCCAGCTGTTTCTTAGCAGGCTGGCCTTTCTTATTGAGATTCAACCAACTCTGACTGACGTGTCCTCACAAGGGACCTGCTCCTCCTGTGCCCCCACAAATTCTCTCAAGTGCAAAAGAACTATGAAGGGGTCTTGTGACTCCCAATAGTGAAGAAGCGGGGCTGAAGCAGAGAAGACGACGCCCAGAGAGGCCCGCAGGAACTTAGGCAAGACTCGCAAAACCAACAGCTGTCGCTACTCGGAGCCCGGGATCGGTGGGGTGGAGGGTCGTGGGCAGGGTCGCGGCCCTCTCGAGGTCTGTCCACCCTCCCTGAGGCTCCCATTCCATTCGGCTGCCCATCCTTACCTGGACGAGTCTCAGACAGCACTTAACAAGTGCCACAGGCAAGTTAGCTTCCCAGGACCTGCGACTGCGGAGTGTCCATCAAAGCCTCGCCCGCTGGCGCCCGCGCCACGCCCCCTAGAAGCCGCGCCCCAGCCTTTCGAGCTCCGCTAAAGCCACAGGGACCGCCCTAGTCTCGCCCCTTTAGATCTGGCGTGCCTCTGCTCTCTGCCTTGACACACCCCTTCTACGTAGGCCACGCCCCTAAGCCCGAGCCCCGCCTCTGAGTTCCTCACCCCCTCACACTCGGTCTCCCTCTCTCTATGCCCGCGGCAGGCAATGTTTCTGGGATAAAAGCAACATTTCTTGGATAAAATCAGGCTGCTGGCCTAAAAGCCTCTAAATCTAAAAAGTGGCTTTTCTCAAGTTTCGCCCATCTCTGAGCAGCATGATTTTGACATGCTAAGGTCGAAACGTTGGATGTGTTCCTTCTCACTACCTTTCAGCTCAATTTACCCAAGTTTCTAAACATCCCCTGAACTTGAACTGTGGGTTCATGTTCCTTTCAACCAGTTTTCATATCCTTTAAACCGGGACTGTGAAATTGTGCTTCTAGCCCTCTGACCTTATCTGATTTTAAATGCAAGGCAGAGGTACCAAATAGGCACTCTCTATTTCCTGTAGTCTCTTAAAGATAATTTTTCTTAGGCAACCAATGCCCTCTTGCTATGGAGGGACTGAGCGTCTTGACGTTAATCTCACTAAATCGGTTGTGAGAGTACATACTCAGTTATCGTTTCTCCTTCCCGGCCAAGAACAATGTGGCCAAGTTATGACCAGCTTGCTGTGCTTGTTCTTACATCCCTGACTCATTCATTCAAATCACATTTATGGTGTAGATGGTCCTTGGGAAAGTTAGACCAACCTCAAGGTTCATATGGCTTAATGTTGCCTCAGCTCTGGTTGAGATGCGCTCCCTCTCCCAAAAAATAAATAAAATCCAAAAGGGAAGATGTAGCAAGGAGTTAATCGGTGAAGAGGACTTAATAGTCATAGGTCCTCCTCCTCGTTACCATGAATAAGCATTTCTTTCCTTGAGATATTTTCTTAAGATTAAGAATTTCTTTTTCATGTGTGGGTATTTTGCCTGAATGTATATGTGACCATCACATGCATACCTAGCTCCCATGAAGGTCAGAAGAAAGCATTGTATTCTCTGGAGCTGGAATTACGGATGGTTGTGAGCTACCATGTGCGCTCTGGGAACCAAACCTTGGTCTTCTGCAAAACCACAAAGTAATCTTAACCTCTGAACCATCTATTCAGAACCTGAAAATACATTTCTTTAAAAGAAAAAAAACAACTTTCAGGTATACCACACAAGAAGCAAACAGGTTTATCTTTTTTTAAAAAAATGCCAAGTACAAGAGGCTTGACTCTAGAGGGGTTCCCTGGTGTTCACGGGGATGTTCCCAGCTAGGACCCTGGGCTGTGAAGGAGAGGGTGCCTGAACTGACCTTGTCCCGTAGTCAGACTGATGACTATCTTGAATATCACCATAGAACCTTCGTCCAGCGACAGATGGAGATAGAGACAGAGACCCACGTCAGAGCACTGGACTGAGCTCCCAAGGTCCAGTTGAAGAACAGAAGGAGGGAGAACATGAGCAAGGAAGTCAGGACCACGAGGGGTTGGCCCACCCACTGAGACAGTGTGCCTGAGCTAATGGGAGCTCACCAAATCCTGTTGGACTGAGACTGAAAGAGCATGGGATCAAACTGGACCCTCTGAATGTGGCTGACAATTGAGGCAGACTGAGAAGCCAACGATAATGGTACTGGGATTTGTCTCTACTGCATGTACTGGCTTTTTGGGATACTATTCTATTTGGATTTATACCTTTCTAAGCCTGGATGGGTTGGGGAGGGCCTTGGACTTCCCACAGGGCAGGGTACCCTACCCTCTCTTAGGACTGGATGGGGAGGAGGGAGGGGAACGGGGAGAGTGGGACGGAAATGGGAGGAGGGGAGGAAGTGGAAATTTCGAATGGTATTATTTATAAAGTAATAAAAAATTATTAGAAAAAGGAAATATACACAGTAAAAAATGCCAAGTATCATATCTATAGCCCACTCCTAATTATAGCTACTTTTTCTTTTGTTTTTTCACGACAGGGTTTCTTTGTGTAGCTCTGGCTGTCCTGGAACTAGCTCTGTACAAGTAGGCTGGCCTTGAACTCACAGAGATCTGCCTGCCTTTACCTCCCAAGTGCTAGGATCAAAGGCATGCGCCACCACCACCTGGCATATAATTACTTCTTAAAACAACCGTCTTTGCTTACAAATAGAGTAGTGGGCGATGAAACCTAACATCTCCTATGTTTACAGTTCATAGTAGAAGTAGTAGAAGGGAGCTTAGAAAGATTCCCAGGCCCGTGCTCACTTCGGCAGCACATATACTAAAACTGGAACGATACAGAGAAGATTAGCATTAGAACGTGAAGCATTCCATATTTTTTACGCACAGAACCAGCAGTCTCCTGTTTCCTGAGCCAGAGTTCCAGGAACACTGTGGACACCTTTGTTTGCAAAGGATCAAGTTGAGAGGCAGCCCCCAGTCTGTCCCATCTCGGTTTGCAAAAAGCACTGACATGTATCTCTTCTCTATTGTAAGCTTTCCATTTAGTTTGCTTCCAGTGATTAAATCTAAGTCACTTGGAAAAACAAAAAGATTCCCAGGCCCCCTTGGATGGAAGAAGGAGAGAGAGGAGGTCATTGGTCACTTCCCCGCTGCTTCTCTGATCAATTGGTTTTAACCCCAGGTTTTATTTAATAAAAGAACGATGGAAGTAATTGTTTCAAATACATATGTGAGGAATTGTCTTGATTGTTAGTTGATATAGAGTCAAGCTTACTATGGACTGCACCATTCCCTACGCAGAAAGCCAGCTAAGCAATTGAGCCAGCAATCAATGCTCCTCCATGGTTTCCTCTGTACTCTCTTGGCTGTGAAGTAGTTTCTTGGTTGAAGGTAATGCTGTGTGGAATAGCGAGTAGGCATGGCTTCAGGTTCCTGCTTGAATTCCTTCAGTGATGGGCTGCACCCTGCAAATAGAAACCACAGAGATCCTTCCCTCTTCTAACTTGCTTCTGGTCAGTGTGTTTTTCCACAACGAATTAAACCCTCCAAATCTGGGGGTGAAAATAACTCCTCTCTTAAGCTGTTTCTGTCAGATACTGTGGTAACAGAGACAGTAAAACCAATACTGTTTAGAGGATTTGGGGAAGTACATGCTTCTTAACCTTTTTTTAAAAAGATTTATTTATTTATTTATTTATTTATTATGTATACAGTGTTCTCTCTGCATGTATGCCTGCAGGCCAGAAGAGGGCACCAGTTCTCATTACAGATGGTTGTGAGCCACCATGTGGTTGTTCCAGGACCTCTGGAAGAACAGTCAGTGATCTTAACCTCTGAGCCATTTCCCCAGCCCCATACTTCTTAATCTTAAGATTATTATGTTGTCTTCATGTACCTCTGCATAGTGGATTCCATTATCAATGACTGTGTTGTAGATGCCATGTAGATGATGGGAACTGAACTCGGGACCTCTGGAATTGCAGCCGGCACTCTTAACCACTAAGCCATCTCTCCGGACTCTTCTTAAGCTTTAGTTCAGAGAAAAAAAAATCTCAAACTCTAATGAGGATGATATTGTGAGCTAAGCAGAAAATATATCTCCTACAGAGTCTCAAGCGTGGCATGGTGGCTCAGTGAGGAAAAGGCTTACTGTGCAAACCCAAAGATGCGGGGTTGATCTCTGGAACCCAGAGCGGAAGGACAGAGCTGACTCTCCAAAGATCTGCACATGGGTTTCTTCCAAGTATACCATTGTTACAATCACAAAGCACACGACATGAAGTCAACTCTATGTACTGTCCAAATGTTCCTGCCTAATTTAGCAGAGTACACAGTGCAGGGTAGCATTTAGATTACTGTCCCTTAGGATGGCAAGTAGGTTTCAATTCACATTTCAGCTTTGCTCTGCCTGTGTAAACTGCGCTGTGAAATTCGGCGAGTCTAGTCTCAGAAGGAAAAAGTTCCGTGCCTACTGGGGACTGGATGGGTGGGTAGTTGCACAGAGCAACCTATCTAGCATCTCTGACTTGAAGTCGCAGAAATTTGGTATGACATCATTTACTGTCCTCACAAACACTTCTCATCATTAGGCTGTGGACAGCTGCGCCACGGCAGAGAGCTCAAAACCAACATAACTGGCCAACAAGTAAGGATGGAAATGGTGAGCTACTAAATAATTTACGTCCTTTATGTGTCAAGAGGGAGTAATTTAAGGTTCTGTTCTGAAAATGAGAGGATCTAACAAAAAAATATTTGGCCTGTCCTAATTACTTTTCTATAGCTGTGAAGAGACACCACAAACAAGGCAGCTCAAAGAAGAGTTTAATTGGAGGTTTGCTTACAATTTCAGAGGTTTGGTCCATGGCCATCATGTTGGGGAGTGTGGCAGCAGGCAAGAAGGCATGGCACTGGAACAGTAGCTGAGAAACTACATCTTGAGACGCAAGCAGAGACAGAGTGAATGGGCTAACTGGGCTTTTGAAACCTCAAAGCCCACCTCCCAGTGACACACCTCCTTCAACAAGGACACACCTCCTCCAACAAGGCCACACTACCTAACCTTTTTCAGACAAGTTTTGCAAACTGGGGAACAAGCATCCAAACATATAAGCTTACAGAGGCCATTCTCATGCAAGCCACCACATGACCTAATCCATCCAACACTTCTTTATAAATACAGACAAAGTTAGAATGGGCATGGCTAAACACTTTGGAGTCATCTCCAACAGTATGCCAAATTAGTTCTTGTAGACAAAAACCCCTGCCCATATATGTATAAATATTTTAATCAGAGGTAGAAATATATAATGCAATCCTAAAATTATATCAATAAACAAAATATCTTAAACAGAGGGAGAAACGTGCATGCAAACAATATGACAAAATAACTTTGCATAGGTATGTAAATATTGTAGACAGAAATAACAAATATAATTTGAACTTGTATCAATATACAAGAAACTATTTCAGTGTAATTATCCATAAATAATAGTTCACAAGGATTCACTCTATT